GCCCTGGCCGCCTGACAGCGTGAGGGGGAACGGATCAGTGCTGAACACGCTTCGTGTGGTGCCGCCCGGAACGACATTGCGGGCGCGTTGGTGATAGGCAGCGGACTTTGGATTCTCAGCCTTGTATTGTTCGACCAGGGCATGCAACCTCTGGTCAAGGCTCTCGCCCGTAGGCGTTTTGTTATCGACGGAAGAGCCCATGATGCCGAAGTGCGTCGTGGTGCCACGAATGACGACGGATGCACCGAGGAGAGAAATGATTCGGGATCATAGCGAAAATCTAGGGGATTTGGCGCCATACTTCATGCACTTGACATCGGCGAGGCTGTCGTCGGAGGGGCCTCTGATGGGCGACCCCGCCCGATTCGGGAAGGACTGGTCTCGGGCCGGTCTCTGGCTTTCGGCTGGGGTGGGATGAAGTGTACCTCCAGGTATGTTAGTGGGCGGCAGTATACTTTCCAAACGGCCTCGCATAGAAGGGAAAATAAAAAGAAAGGAAATCGGATCAACGAGGGCAAACCCAAATGAAAGGGCATGGGCTGGCTGTCTGGCATGATCTAGTAGAAAGAGTACTTGCCTTGGGTAAGGTACCCTACCTCCCTACCTACCCGGATGAGGGCTTTCCTGATGTCCCTCAAGCGCCAGGCAGGCGGGCCCTGGCGGCCACTGCAACAATTTTAGCTTGACGAATGTCGAGTCACGTCTCGCCTGGAGCAGAGTCTGGGGTAGCGACGTCAACGACTCATCTGACCTCACCACCAGGGTCAGGAACCTCACCAAGGAAAGTAACCTCACCAAAGGTACCCCGACTGACACATCTCTCGCGACCGTATCAATCGCGACCATCAACCCGTCCTTGTACAGTCCTCTGCCATCCCTCGAATCTCCTCTCGAGACAGACAAACACCAGCTGTGCTTGCAACGTGCCTGCGGTCACCCCTCTGCAGCCTCCGTACACACGCGCGACGGCAAAGCGAGCGTCTGATTGCCAACCAACGCGACACCTGTGATCGGCCAGCGCGGCGCACCGTCTCCGCCTGCCGTCAGACGAAGGAGGACTGACTATACAACACTGCAATTCACCCGGCTGTCTCATTATGAAACATCTTCGATCCGGTCTTCCCACCTACCCTCGCTATTCTCTTACCCCGCGATCACGAGAACCCTCAGGCGCAGGCCCGTGAATGAGCCACAAATGTCCGGCCCGAAAACGAAGCACGACGAATTAGTAGTAAGTCATGACGCCCCCCCTCCGAGGTCCTTGCATTCTCTGACGAGGAATCGAAATCAGGAGGAGTTCGCCTCCCTACTCGATGAGTCTCTCATCATCGCCATCACAACTGACCATGACCTGGACGATCCTGCCCAGTATGAGGCGGCGCGCGATATCCTGAAAACACTCGCATCGGACGTCGTCCTCGAAGAAGCGACAGGCTTCAACGCGAGTGGCGTGGCCAACGCCTTTGGAGCCCTAGACGATGCCCACGACGCCCGAGACAGCTCGGCGCAGTCGCACGACTCGGCCTCACACCATCGCGACAGTGATTCCTGCACCACGGCCATCACGAGCCCGGCTCTCGAGCCAGGTGATGGACCGTCTCCTCGGATCACCGCCTTTGAGGGCCAGTCTGACGATTTTCAGATTCGCCAGCTTCAGGATATGTTTGCCGACCTCAAGACCCACGACATCCAGCTCGCCTTTAAGAAATCACACGGCGACTTCTTCACTGCTATGGACAGTTTGCTCAACACCCAGTATCTTGAATCGACGGGTGAGCGGAAGAAGGGAATTGATGGATTTTTCCAACCTGAAGGTACTACTTCTTCGAGCAAGAAGAAGAGGAAGAAGAAGCAGCGCAAGGGAGGCTCGTCTGCGACCGGATCGTCCACAAATACCGAGCCCAGCTCCCCTACGGAAAGAGAAGGTGACAGCACATGTGAGGATCCCTACCTCTCTCATACCAGACATCCACTCACGCCACAGCACAGATCTTGAAGACATCTTATTCATCGCAGAGAAACTTGACTTGCCCTACGACGAAGCAGCCCACGTCTTCCGCCTCCAAGGCTACTCCCGCGAGCGGACAATCATCGACTATCTAGACAGTTACATCCAACAAGGCGTCCGCGCTACGAGCGACGCCAGCCGCGCCCGCGTGACAGAGCTCTCCAACCTCTACCGCAGCATCCCGGAAAAGTACATGCCGCCACTGATCGGCATCGCAGGAGACGTCGACCAGTGGGTGGACGAGCTGGCCGCCCTCCTCAACACCTACTTTGCGCACCTCGGCCCCCAACGACTGGCCGTCGATTACAAGCTGACGCCGCTCGTCGGCGCCGAGATAGAAAGCTTCATCCCGGCCACGGGCTCCAAGGCCCACAAACGCGGCGCCTCCTCCGCCATGCCGCCCCCGCCCCCGCCCATCCCGCAGTCCAGCCAGCCCTTGACCTACCAGGACGCCATCCACGCCGCGAGCGCCCACGCCGCGGCGCGCTCGCACTCGTACACCGCTGCCGCCGCCAGCTTCAAGAAAGGCGGCTCGAACCCGCTCTACCGCCAGGCGGCGGCCTACTACGCCGAGCGCGGCCGCGCGCAGGCCCAGACGTACGCCCAGGCGCGCAGCGTCGCCGCTGACATGCTCGTGACGGACAACAGCTCGCGCAAGGTTATCGACTTGCACGGCGTCGAGGTCGCCGACGGCGTGCGCATCGCGCGCGAGCGCGCCTGGGCCTGGTGGCAGGGGCTCGGCGAATACCGTGACCTCGAGGCGCGCGACGGCTTCACCGTCATTACGGGGCTCGGCCGCCACAGCGCCGGCGGCGTCTCGCGCATGCGTCAGAGCGTAGCTGCTGCCCTGATAGAGGACGGGTGGAAGGTGTCGGTCGAGACGGGACGCTTCCGGATCACCGGTCGACGCCGGGCTATGTGATGGTGATAGGAAGTAGTGCGCGAAGTTTTCTGTTCGCTTTGTGGAACGGCCACATGGATAAGCATGATGTTGGCACAGTCGTGGCGGATTGAATAGACTCGGCTTTTTGCACCCACATACTTCGTCGCCCAAGGTTGCGGCGTATGTCCCAACTCGCGGTGTAGCGAATGCAAGTTAATCGACATTTGTCACAATACACCCATGATGCTGCAGATGGAAACTTGTTTAAAAGCTTGCCAAGGCTGGTGCAGTAGTATTCGGCTCCGTTCGCACGTCCTGCGCATGACAGTAACGCGAACAATGGGTTTTAGCTGCCCTCGCAGCAGGCCTGGCCGATTTCCCACAATCTTTGACATAAGCGGTATCACTCTGTCCAAGCCCAGATTCTGCATCGCCGCGCCAGCAGAAGTCTCGCAAGCCGGTCCTATTACGTTCAGCCGTTGAAGACCCTGGCCCCAGCACCTACCGGACGTTGAGACCGCCGGGAAGACGGGAGTCTCGTGAATCCTCGGTTATGGACTCTTTGACACGGGTTTCAATGATTAGCTGAGATGAACGAAGACTTCTGTGCATTTAAGCTTCGGACGGGCGTCATGCGGCTGGTAAAGCCTCAAAGCCAGCTTCAAACCTTTGAGACAACTGACGCAGGGGTTCCTGGGCTGGGGTTCTCGCTTTCTCGATGCTTCGCAAGAACAAGAGATAAGACGTCTGCAAGGGGATATGATCGAGCGGCAGTTTTCCTATTCAAGCGGGCCTGAAACCTATTATCAAGGCCGAGCGACAGCATGGAAAGGCTCAGAAGGTGTTGACATACATGAGTCTCCCTGAAACGGCTACAATTGTAGCCTCTCTAAATCGCCTCTCGTGTCTTGAGTTATCCGAGCTTTCCGGTCTGCTGAACCTGCTCAAATTCTGAAGCCACTGGCCAGCGAAGTAGGCCGCGGTGGGTCTATGTTCCTACCTCATAGTACATCGCACGGAGAGACATCAGCCAAGACTAAGGCTCCAACTATTGAGGCGATGGATTAAGCGGTGGTACGCTGTTAGTGATGGGACTTCTTAGAGAATCACTACGTATTGCATTTCTTATTGGGCAGATGGACCTCCAGTGTCTGACAGGCTGAGATCTTATCACTTGGAGGACTGTGAGCCCGGAAAACCCCCTACCAGTCAGCAAATCCCCCATTGTCGGGCAGTCTGTAATAAGCATACCATACGTCGGGACGTCCCAGCTGAGCGTATACTTCAAATGGTGCTAATCCTACTGTTCATCCAATCATTGCTCCTGGGCTCACCCACCCAGCTCCCAAGAGACCGACGTTACCGTGCCGCAGCGCATCGCCATCAACTCCTGGGAAGAACTCATGCCTGGCAAGCCTGGCATCCCGTGATCCGAGACGAGCATCTAGATTGTAACCCTCCCCTGCATCTTGCCGCGTCAGGGCCTGGAGGCGACGCCGCAGCTCCACAGCTGAAGCATCCTCGAACGCGGGGTCCTCTGCAAAGACATAGTCCATCGTTTCGGCGTTAAAAGCACTCAGTCTGTGTCGGGTACAACGCTTCAGATCCTCCCGGGCGGTGTCGAGCTCTTTGGCGTAGGAACATGGATAGACAACCCAGCTCCATTTGTCGCGGTAAGTCTCCTTCGAGTGATAGATTCTACTAGTCCTCCTTGCCCTGAGGGTCCTGCTCCGGGCTGAACTGCGATCATGAGGCCATCCAAGACTGGCGAATATACGGGTGTGGGTGCAATCGTTGTTGTGGCGATGTCAAGAGACTGGCGAGAGGCCAGTGAGGTTGATTCTGACTGGAACTTGGTGACTACGAATAAGATTCACCGCCGGAGGTAATGCATGCTGTTGAAATATGTCCGATGAGCGGTTGGGGCAGACGTGCACGAAGTGTCACTGATTGTGGAACCCAGGGGCCATAACGTTGGATTGCATCATGTAAGGCACGCTCGTGAGCTGGCCTCAATCATCAACGGTCCTTGACAGGTAAAGGGCTCAAAGTGTCGGTCTTGATGGACGCTTCGGTCTTCGCTTGTTACAAGACCGTGAAATGATCCATAGGCTGGGTAGGCTTGTGGCGGGCAAGATGTTCCACACCACAAGGCTGGATTGACAACGGTCAAGCCTGGAATTTTGCTGTGCTTGCGCGCCTAGGCAACTAGAACCTCCCAATTGCATACAAGCGCCATCTAACCCCCAAAACAATAGTGTGCTGTGCTGTGCATGACCAGCTCAGTCGGGTATAGCGACGAACTTGTCTGGGCACTGGCGGCATCTTATCGACAGTTCTGGCACGCGTCCCATCTCTTGGCCGTTTGCTGGAGATTCGAGTCCTTCCTCATCTCACCCACCCCTGGGCCCTAAGGTCACAGCAACGTCCATGTGGCTATTGGCTATGGCACAGCGATCGGACCACGGTTCTCATGCCGTGCGGCCAATGACCAGGGTCTGGCCCTTGGACAGGGCCTGGATTTCTCGTGTTGGTGGCCGGCATCGAGACCGAATAGGAAGGCGACTGGACAGACCCCGCCAAACCCATGTCACCTACACGGTATCCCCAGCGATATCATGCGAAGCGATAAGTTGCGGCGTCGGTTCACACATGAGGTAGGCATTTCTAAGAAGGTCGTTCACACTGAGGGGGCCTGCAGATTCGGATAGCTCCCGAGTCAGGGGGTTGGAGGTCGGTTCACCGGCAGTATAAAGACGAGATGTCTTCGACGTGGGATCGACATGTAGCACCGGCCGAGAGCTTCAGTCAAGTGGACCACTCCTGTTCGTTGCACGCGCTTCCAGTCCGTCCAAATGCAGTCCAAGTTTCTCTGGATCGCCGCGGCTTCGGCCGCCACGGCCGCGGCTCAGGTGCCCGCCCGTCTCTGCGGTACGGCCCAGCCGACCATGGACGACCTCGTTATCGCCGCCGGCCTCGCCGCCGAGGGGAAAGACAACCGCAGGGGGCTTCACCCAGAGGACCCAATCGTCGTGCCGACTCTGTTCCACGTCCTTGCCATCAACGAGACTGTTGCAGGAGGCTATCTTACCGTAAGGATCGATATGGGTGCCCGCACGAGTCGAGCACAGTAAGACATGTAATACTGACATCCGCACAGGAGAAGTCGCTCCAGGACCAGCTCGACGTGATGAACGCTGACTTTGGCCCTTCCAATGTCATTTTCAACCTCACCGCCACCACGCGTACCGTCAACCGCCGCTGGGCCCAGGATCTCGACGAGATCCCCATGAGACGCGCCTTGCGCCAGGGCGGCCAGGAGACTCTCAACATCTACTTCATGCCCTACGTCAGCGGCTATCTCGGTTACTGCACGTTCCCCAACTTCTGGGACGCTGGGTCTGATGAGTTCATCTACGACGGATGTGCCGTCCTGTCTGACTCCCTCCCTGGAGGTTCTCTGGCGCGTTACAACCTCGGCCGCACTGCCACGCATGAGATTGGCCACTGGTTCGACCTCTTCCACACCTTCTCCGGCGGCTGCGGTTGCGTCGGTGACATGATCCACGATACCCCTGCCATGCTCAACGCTACTGGCGGCTGCCCCGTTGGCAAGGACACTTGCCCTGACCGCCCGGGTCTGGACCCCATCCACAACTACATGGATTACTCCGATGAGTATGCTTACCTTTGCCCGTTCTTTCTGACGTCTACTAATGGTTGCAAGCGCGTGTATGAATGAGTTCACTCCTGGCCAAAAGTAAGATGCCCTGCCTTCATAAGGACTGCCACGTCTTGAGCCTATGCTGACATGCCGACCCATAGCTTCCGCATGCGCAGCGCCTGGTACAACATCCGTACCAAATAGATTCTGGACTAGGCAGACCGTTATTTGCATATTGTCGAACTAATGTGGATTGGCCTTCAGAAATAACATGTAAATGAGAGGTGCGGCGAGTTTAGTCAGAGCCTCTTCAGTGTAATTGTGCTTCGAAACCGACAAACAGGCCTTCTTTTCAAAAGAAAACGGCACGTGTATATAGAATTGACGATTGATGAGGCATATCAACATGTAGGCTTGGTGGATGGTGACCACTACTCTCGAGGTGTGTCGTTGTGGTTGGATCATGAAACAAATAGAAGCACTGCATCGACTCAAACTACAACATGTGCGTTGCAGAGTTCCGATATGTATATGTGGTTGTGTTCTTTGGGGTTTCATCAATCTCATAACAGAATCTCTCTGCTCAGGGAGAGTGTTTTGTGACAGTGTTTAGGGAGAATCGCTTGTTGGTTCCAGAGGTAGAACTAAGTGATTGAGCATTTACCCGCGTCGACATGACTTAAGGCTTAAAGCTGTACTCGCGCCAGTCTTCTGTGATTGTCGTCCAGGGGGGTGTATGTCAACGATCGCCACAAGATGACTGCTGGGCGGGGTATGCTGTACCTTGTCTAAATGAGCCTTGAGGAGTATGACAACATACTTCTCATGACTTATGTACATGTCCCAGCGACAAAATCTGCCCAGCCTGTAGGGCGAATCATTGGACGACAATCCACATCTTTGTCAAGTTGCCGGAGGACTTGCCTCCGATTCGTGAACAGCAGAATAGTTCATTGGGGAGATTCAAGCTCTGCTCTTACGCGAAAATAATCTATTCGAGCTTCTCTGTCAAGTCAAAAGATGAAGATGCAGGAGCGCGAGGAGACAGATGCACTGCAAGTCACGAGATCAGCAGGCGGGCTGAACGCTATTGAACCATGCAGCTGCCACCGCGAATCTTCCAGCCGGGAGGCGCCTATGAGTGGCGGGTTCTATACGCGGCCGCCACTCCCAGGCGCTGGGCGCATCTGGGGCCGTTTCGTGGCTGCGGAGACGGTTCGTCCGACTCCAAATGGGCATTTTTACAAGCGAACCGCTTTGAAGTTCATGATACTGGGTGAGACTTCCTAGGTTTGATGAAGGTCTAGCTAAGTTAAGCCGTGTAACAAATGCATTCGCAAAGAGACAGCCGCCACCGACGACGTTCTGTGTCACGAGACGTTCCTAGGAGTTAACTTGGCTAGGTACGTAGGGGCGGGCGAGGAGTTAGGTCGGTGAATATAAAAAGGGCTCTGTTCCCCTTGAAAACTGTATTATACATCATTCAGGCCAGCTACAGCATCAACACCATATTCACATCCAAAGAAAGCATCAGCAAACTCAAAATGAGGACATCAGCTATCTTCTCTGTTCTGGCCATGGCTGCCATATCCTGCGCCCACATCATTCCGGAAGACGCTAACACGAACCTCCTGGACAGTAAGTGGTTCTTATTTCTGGTTTTGGACTTGCAGTCTTATCATTCTGTACAGAGAGACAATGCAGTGGTGCTGCCGTCACTGCGTGCCAGAATGCCTGCCGCAACATCGCGATCAACGCTTGCACAAGCTGCAACGGCAACCCAAGCTGTCATTCCGCATGCGAAAGCGCCCGCCGGAGGCAGTGCAGCCAATGCTGCTCCAACAGCTGCAGGACCTGCTGAGCTGTTCACAGCCTGTTGATGAATGCTGAAAGAGGTTGAGTTATGGGCGCCATGCGATGCCATCGCACAGCAGAAGGGATGCGATTGTGGGGATAATTTCTGCTGATTCAACTCCATTTCTTGGGATATGTCACACTCATATGTTGTCGGCAGACGCTGTTCAAACTTCTCAGTGATAGTAGTAGATGGCATTGCTGGAGCAGCTGCTCAACTGAATGCATACTCGTTCGTCCAGGTTCAAGCACTCCTCAAGGAATCAGGTTTTAGCACTTGGGAAGTTTCACTACACCGAGCACGTGATATCCGTGAACAGCCTGTACGACTGAGCCAGCTACATACCTGAAATTCGATCGGCCAGGCAAGCAAAATGGCCAAATCAACTCACATGTGTAACGACCACTAGATCATTGTACTAAGATTTGCACCTTGGCCACAAAGTGCGTAGCCGATAAGTATAAGCAGCGACTCACACCACGAATTGTGAAAACAGTCTTTCTGAACAGGAGGACCGTACCAAAATTTTCGTGAGCAGTGTTGTATTGATGTTCTCGACCATCAAGCTGAAGATGGTAGGATGGACCAGGAACCACAAGACCAGGGTGGTTGCACCAGTATGTCACACAGACAAATTAGCCATGGAGTCGTGGCTTACCACCAATTCTTTTTTCAACGTCGTTTCGTATTTCAATACTTCTGGCCTAGAGCTAATTTCTGTACGGACTCCGAATGTAAGAGCCAACAAACAGCTCGCACTCTCCAAGCCATACTTCGCGCTCATTCACCTTCATGCTTACCCAACGTACGCGGTATAGTCGTACGTCGGACGTGGTGATGGCGATGTCGCACATGTTGTCCTCGGACCAATTTCATTGGAGTCCGGGATGAAGGACAAACCCGTCTGAAGTCAGTTAACCTCGTGCGCTTTACGCGCTTTAGCCGCCTGAAGAGGATCCAGTCTCCTGTACAACCACTTGTCCGTTTTCGACCACCCTCAAATATGAGATAGTCAGCGAAACTGTCTTTGACTTCGCCTTGCAAATTCCAGGCTCGACAACTCCCCTAGCTTCCGTGGAAGTAGACGCCAAATGCGCCAAGCGCGTCTACGTTTCCGCAGGCAAGCCAAGCATCAAAATGATCCCGTACGGTGCGTCAAGGACACTACCTCAAAGTGTATTGGCCGTCATGGCGTGCGGCCTACAATCTATTTCTTCTCTATTGGCAGCCATCAAGTGCTTCATAGTCTCAGGTACATTTTTTATAGAATACCAGTTGCCCATATTTTTGCACCAACAGAACTCCATGATTCCAAGATGTCACATATCGACGGTGATGTCTCATCATTCACCAGGACGGACAGCTCAGACAAAGTCTTAAAAATGGGATCCATGTCGTGCAAGACCGAAAAATACCGAGCCCAGCTCAGGTGCCGCGTCCCCCACCTACCGGGCCGCCGCTCGCCAACAATGAGCCGAGCCTCAAGCCTTCTGCCCAGCAACCTGCCGCCCGCACCTCTCCCAGACATCCAGCCCCGTCAGGACAGAGGTACACAGCATGACGGTCCCAATGGTGCCGGGCTCGCTCGAGACCCACCCAACAGCCGACCCAGGGATCAGAAGATCCAGCGAATCCGCCGCCATGCGCCGCAGCAAAGCCCTCGCCTTCTTCCGCACGCCAGCGCGGTGCGCCTTCCGCGCCGCGACACCCTTGCGCAGCCTCTCCCGCTCGTCCTTCCAGTCCTCGGCCCCCTCGGGCGCCGGCGCGGGGCCCGGGCACCGGCTCGCCGACGAGATTAGCAATCTTGACGGCGCCGGAGAGCACGCCGCAGGCGAGGGCGCAGAACCAGAAGCGCTGGGCCTCGACGTTGATGGTGGCGGCACGGGCCTCGCCGAAGAGGGCGGCGCCGGGGACGCCGAGCATGTCGGGCAGGGTAATGGTCTCGAGGAGGCTGAAGACGCCCATGAGGGACGAGGCGATGATGTCGAGGTGGACAGCGAGGGGCTGAGGGTCGGCGACGGCGCGGGCGACGAGCGCGTAGGCTGTGGAGAAGGAGCGGGCAAAGTTGAAGGTGCGCATGGCGCGGCGCGTGATGTTGACCTGGGCCTTGAGCGGGTCGAGGGTCAGGGCGGTGAGGCGCGGGGAGGGCGGGGCGCCGGCGGTGAAGATGGGGTAGAGGGCTGGGAGGAGGAGGGGGTAGGCGAGGAATATCTGGAAGATGGCCTGGACACCGCGGAGGAGACGTTCGAGTCCGACTATTGATGGTCAGTCATGGCTTTTGAAGATGAGGGGCCAAGATTGAGGGGCTATGATGGAAAGTGTTGCAACGTCCCAACGATAATATCTCGTGGTGAAAAAACATGAGGCCACTCGATCTATGCCATCTTCGCTTTCGCTGTATGAAGTATGAAAGCACACTCACATATGTCGGTCCCGAAGCAGATGAACTGCTCGATCACATGTGACACCATGTCTACGGCGGATGGGGCCAGTGCCACGTGCGATGAAGGTGCTTAGGCGTTGGGCGATGAGGGATGCAAAGTGTCGGCCGAGACCACTAGATCAGTCATAAGTATATCTAAAGATGACGGGAGGATAAATGTCAAATTGAGGCTGGCAATAACGGTGAGGTAGGCTACAAGGGCTCGCCTCGTGTTGTTGTTTGAGGTTAGCCTTGAGCTCCTGTTTTCCCAGCCATTCGCCCAATCGGAATGGTTGGGGTGGATGGGCGTCAAGGGCAGATGATAAGCACCCCGGCACCAGGATACGATGATGGGATATACGTTACAACAAGGTACTCAGAGAGGCATATATCAAACCATCTGGAATGCTGCCAAGAGTGCCAGTCGAGTGGTGAGTGGTCTTCGAGGACCAGGGCCAAAATCTCGGGACTGCGAGGCGTCATTCGGACCAAAGCCTAGAATTATCAAGGAGCCCTGACAGAACGCTAGAACGAATTCTCTTGTTACAACAAACGAACACCACAGCTTTAAAGTCTACCAAACTAGGTACGGAACACATATGTACAAGCCCTTGGGCTGCCGATACCAGCCTCCATTTTTCATACTAAGGCACCCTTTACTGGCCGGGAGCGACCAACTTGCCCTGCGCGCGCGCAGTCGGCTCCCAACCACCAGCCAGCGCGTTGCCGCCGTTCTGCGCGGCGTACTCCGCCATCCTCGCCTCGAGCTCGGGACGGAAGTGACGAATCAGGCCCTGCAGCGGCCAAGCGAAAGCCTCACCCAGAGCTGTGTCACTGTTAGTATGCATGTGATGAAAATCTACGTGAAGAAAGGAACGTACCGCAAATAGTGTGACCCTCGACCTGCTTGGTCAGCTCCTGGAGCATGTCAATTTCCCGCGGGCGGCCTTGGCCCTTCTCGAAACGCTTCATGATCTGATCGGTCCACTTGCTGCCCTCGCGGCAGGGTGTGCACTGGCCGCAGGACTCGTGTGCGTAGAAGTGGGACAGGCGGCTGATGGCGCGGACGACATCGGTGCTCTTGTCCATGACGATGACGGCAGCAGTGCCGAGACCCGACTGGCTGTCCTTGAGGGCGTCAAAGTCCATCAGCTGGTTGTCGCAAACATCCTTGGGCAGAATGGGCGTCGAGGAGCCACCGGGAATGACGGCAAGCAGGTTGTCCCAGCCGCCACGAACACCGCCGCAGTGCTTCTCGATGAGCTCACGCAGAGGGATGGACATCTCCTCCTCGACAGTGACGGGGTTGTTGACGTGGCCAGAAATGCAGAAAAGCTTAGTGCCCTGGTTACGCTCGCGGCCGAAACCAGCAAACCAGTTGCCACCGCGACGACAGATCGTTGGCGCGACAGCAATGGTCTCGACATTGGCGACGGTGGAAGGGCAGCCGAAGAGACCGACGGCGGCAGGGAAGGGAGGCTTGAGACGAGGCTTGCCAGGCTTGCCCTCGAGGGACTCGATGAGGGAGGTCTCCTCACCGCAGACGTAGGCACCGGCACCACGGTGGACGTAGACGTCAAAGTCGTATCCAGATCCGCACGCATTCTTGCCGATCAGCCCGTCCTTGTACGCTTCGTTGATGGCAGTCTGGAGGACAGCAGCCTCGTGGTAGAACTCGCCGCGGATATAAATGTAGGCGGCGGTGGCGTTCATGGCACGGCCGGCGACGAGGCATCCCTCGATGAGCTTGTGGGGGTCCTTTCGCATAATCTCGCGGTCCTTGCAGGTTCCGGGCTCTCCCTCATCGGCGTTGACGACCAGGTATCGGGGCTTGGTGTCCTTGTCCCAGTCCTTGAAGTTCATGAACGACTACCACTGTCAGCACGCGTCGTTATACAAGAGCACATCACAGTCGCCACCTACCCATTTCAGGCCAGAGGGGAAACCAGCACCACCACGTCCTCGCAGGCCGGATGCCTTGACTTCGCTGATGATCCACTCGTGTCCCTTGGCGAGAATCTCCTTCGTCTTGTGCCAGTCACCCATCTTCTTCGCGGACGCAAGCGTCGGCGGCAGGCGGCCGTTGAGGTTCTGGAAAATACGGTCGCTGTCCTTGAGACCGCCGTAGCTGCTACGGACGGTGGCGTAGTTGCGAGCCATGTTGGCCGCGGTCGCGGGTAACCGCTGTGATGTCGACATCGTGTCGCGGGAGCGCGGGGTCCGTGAATTTGAGTGTCAGTTTTGTCGTCAGGCCTGAGCTCGCGATCGAATTGCCCGGGTGGCGTTGACGAATTGAGGGTCCCGGCAGGGAGGGGCGTCGATGAAGGGTCGGATTTGAGGTTGTCCTGGAGCTTGCGAGGTTTCGGCAACCTCCAGATGATCTTGATGACGCCTGGATTTTGGGGCATTATGATTGGGCAATGGGCCGGTGTTTGCACGTGACCTGGATGCTGCTTACCTCATTGAACCTTTCCAAAGCCCCTGGTTGGCAAGGTTGGGTCGTGATCCATTCCAGCATCGCGAGATGGTCTGAAAGTGGTCCAAGCTTCCTTCCAGCGATGCGGGATACCATCTAGGGCAACCTCGTTGCGAGTGCAACAAGAGGGGAGTATGGAGCTCTAGTACTTCTCACGTTCCATACTACCGAATTGCGATAACATCACGGGTTTGTTTCGCCATGTCTTCTACCACCAGCAAGCGTCGCTCGATCATTCCCCCCGTCTCCAGCTCAGGGCCCCAAGCTCCTCTCAATGCGTCTTCCTCCTCCAAGATCTCCGACAATAGCATATTGACCGGCAGCCACTCGATCACAGTTCAGTCCGAAACGATCATCCATCCGCGAGCCAAGCTAGAGTCAATGAGCGGGAGCATCTACGTCGGAAGAAGGTGCATCATCCACGAGCGTACACATATCGGCCTCAGCGACGGCGACGAGGGCAGCGGAGGGGTAACATTGGGGGACTACGTCACCGTTGAGGTCGGCACGGTGATCGAGGCCGGCGGTACAGATATTGGCGACGGCACTGTGGTCGGCGTCCGATCTCGAATCGGCAGTGGTGCCGTCATTGGCAAAGTATACCGCCCGAAGCATTACACGCGATTGATACGGGCTAATCCCCTCCAGAACTGCACCATCACACCACAGACGGTGATCAGGGCCGGCGAGAAGATCCCAGACTTCACAGTGGTGTTTTCAAACGGGCGCCGCCGAACAGACAAGCGGGATGTCGTCGATCTGAAGCACAGGGCGCAGGCAAAGCAGGTCGATGTATTGCGGAAACTGATTCCGACGAACCCTCTGCGACGTCAAGCGGCAGCTGAGTAGCAACCGCAACTGCCGTCGGAAACGAGAACAGAAGTTTGATCTTACTTGCCCTATTTCCAGCCTCATGATACCCAAATACACATAAATCACAAGGACCTCGAGATGTACCAACGTCCAGTTGGCTTTTGTGTTTCCCATAAAACCACTAAGCAGTCTCCTTTGTTGGTGGCAAGAAGACCTGCCTATCATGCATAGTCGACGGATCAACTGCATCGTAAGCGCCTGCACATGGCACATCCCTTTCACCCATTACGCACGCACCATTGGCTCGGCCACAACAAGGCACACCATCAGGCAGACTGGCATGCTTCACGTGGTTTGTATGCAGCCTGATCTCCTTCCGAAGTGAGCCCGACACCTCGCACTGCGCTCCTTTTGCTTCTCGCTTCTCTCTGTCTCCATCCACTGTGCTCAATCAATCCTGTCAGACTAAGGATGGCCCAACATGGCCGAAGTATTCGGCATCGTCTCCGCCGGCGTGGGCATCATGGCTTTCATAGGCCAGGTGTCTGCTACTCTTGAAAAGGTGAACGATGCTCATCAGTTTGTCAAGGGCAAGGCTGCTGAAGAGATCGCGTCTTTGCAAACGCAGCTCCACCTCCTCCAGATCATGCTGCAGACCTTGCAACCAGGAGACGACAATGACATGGATGTTCTTTTGACGGGCTATCACTGGCATCAGTTCAACACTATACAAACATCCTTGAGCAAACTCTCTACAAAGCTGCACGAAAGACTTGAGTCCTCTTCATCGCTTCGCCGCCCAAGTTGGAGACTAGTCAGCAATAAGGCCGATCGACAACTGCGGGAAGAGATAACAAGTGCAAGCCTGAAGATTCAGGCCTTGATTCAGGTCATTCTTTTGCACGCGTAAGTAGTTGTAAAAGAATGCAGTCGGACGGCGTAACTCATTGGGTGCTTCAGTGTTGTTAGGCCCCGCCAACTTCCACCCAAGCCTGGCATCGAAGTCCATGAATTGCCGCCAGTCAAGGTTCCGATAGAAGATCTCTGCATCACCGATACTATAGCTGACAACATGTTACTTGTTCAATCCTCGATCGAGCAAGCTAGGTCTGAAACAGTCATTATGAACAAGACTGTGGAAAAGGTTGAAACAACATGCGAGCCCAACACTTTCACCTCGAGAACGACCAGCTTTATTGGACAACCGCGTCGAAACGATGTCTACACTTGCAGCAATCCAGGGTGCTGCTGTAAATGTCATATTACAGCAAAGATCCAGAGGAGGTTCTGGGCGTTCGAATACACACCTCTGTCAATTTATCTCAGCGACTGCGACGATAACCTGTGCAACTCTCGGAGGGTGCGTCTGGGATTTCGGGTAGCCTTTTCACAGTATGGCATTCCATTTGCTGTATCGATTGGATTTGAGGCCATCTCAGAGGCAGGGATGCGCACATTGCAGCCTACGCTCCGGACCCAGCAGATTGTCAAGTATACTTCGCCGGGCTTTCAGATATTGTGGCTAGCGATACAAAATTTCGTTACTGTTGACCAAGCTAAAGAGCAACTTTCGGACTTCTTCCAACGAGAACCCACGGCGAGAAATCACGTCGATCCGTCGGGCAAAGGTTACCTCGAGGTACAAGTCTCTCACCAATTGTGGTACTCGGCTCATATTATTGACTTCGGCACAGGCCATGGTCAAACTGTTTTCGGGAAGTTCTTTCCGGATAGATTATCTTGATCTCGCGAAGTTCATTGCGAACAGCCTTGGTTGTCAACACAATGCAGATCCAGAGTATGTCCCTTTCGATGACAAGAGAATGGGTAAAATGCTGACACTAAAACATTGTTCTGGGTATCTGTGCAGAAATGCGAGATCACGAGGGACGTGATTGCCTCGTACAGCTTCTGCTTGAATGTGGCTATGATCCAAGCAATGTTGCCTGGCAATCTCTAAAATTTATTCCGCATGGCTGTGCGAACGACAAACTGAAAGACCCATTTTTGATCGGCTTTTGGTCCACACTGATTGCAAACAGTCCCGGTTAGCTTCAAGGCCGCTTCACCACAAACAAGTTTATGCGATTGCTGATCAGCTTCACTTCAGGACTTGTTTTGCCAGGACTTCTCGAAGCTATATTGCATAAGTCCATTGCAGAAACAACAGTCTGGATCCACAGGACGCCTTGTTTGGAGGCTTGCGCAACTCCCCTAGGTCAAACTCCTCTACACCTCGCCGTCGTCGACGATCAGATCCTGGACCTGATTTTGAACAGTGGACATAATGTTGATGTTATGGACAGCTTCGGCGACACCCCCCTTGCCTACGCCATCAGGTTGGGACGGTGGTATCCAATATCGCGACTGTTGACTTATGGTGCCAGTCTTCCGATGGGCAGCCTTGGATCGAGTTTCTCAGAACTGATGTCCTCCTACGGGGACATCGATATTGTGTCCAGCGCCCTGGCTCTAATTCAAAAGCTCCGTGGAGCTGATGTCGCACAGAGTGTCATTGGGGGATTGGTACATGCAGGTTTTATTGTTAATGAGTCACGCCGCTCTAAAAATTACCAGGAGATCTACGACATGCTCATGGGACGGTGGACAAGTTCTTCGATCATCAAGTATGAGGTCAGAGGCAGAAGCATCATGCATGTAGTTTCAACGGTGCAGGAAGCACGGAATCTTGTCCAAAGAGGCTTCAACAGATTCGATTTGGCTAGCTCTTACGGGCACTTGGCCATTCATGAGCATGCTTACCAGGACCGGGACTCTCTCGTTGAGTTCTGTATCGAGCATGGATCAAACTTGGAGCACAAGGATAAGTACGGGCTCAATGCTTTCTCATCCGCCTTCTCGAGACTGAGGTTTAGTTGGAAGGGCCACAAAGCTTCATGCATGCTTTCATCCAGACGCATTTTACGCGCCGGCACCAACGTCAGAAAAGGAGGCAGGTGCAAATGCGTCTGCACATCCGCAGATATCGGCTGTTCATCTGCCGAGAAACGGATTCATGCGGATATCGTAGGGCCGCGCGATTATCATTGCCCATCGTGGATTACCACTCTGCAATACCAGTCTCTCCTAGGCGACTTTCAGGGCGTTCAATCAAGTCGCACGGCATTACTTGGTGTGATAAGAAGACTTGAATTCGATGCCTTGCGCATGACACATGCCTGCCGATGTTGCAGAAACGGATCCTACCAGGTACTCAAGGACACTCACATTGACGAAACCCCTGTTGAGCAATCGCACCTTTTACATCGTCTCGACAGCAGCATGATGAATCTTCGTGCGAGACCTCTATCGACTTTGCAACGCGAATTTCTGCTTCGCTTTAAGCAATCTCCGGCAGCTCGTTTACACAAAAGCAGCAGACGTCTCAGACCAGCGAATTGGCAGGTAAGCAAACAAAGTCTCATCAACGTATTGACCTTTGCTACCAAGACTGTTAGCCTCGCCGTGATTGGATTGTAGATTCCGTCCATGATGAGATCAAACTTGTGCACCCCGCTCTACCTCCGTTACCAGAAGCTTTCGCGCAAAGTCTAACTTGCGATTTGGCGATCTATGTTGCGTCCCTGGAGCGGCAATGGAACGAGCTTCAGGGTCAGCCATCGGATCTCTTCCCCAAGGGCTGGTATGCAAGACGGATCAGGTGGCTTGTCGAGGTCATGCGGGTGTTTGAGGTCAGTGTCGAAGAAGCGGCCCGGACACTTTGTCTGGGAGAAGCACGCATATCCCCCTCGCCCTTCAGATACAACGTGAGCACTCAACATGAGCGAGACATATGGGCGGCCCACTTTGTCTCTTCTGTTAGTGAGGCTGTATCCGACGCAGATGACAGCGACAGTGGTGTCGAAGATTGGGAGAGCCGTGGCTCAACAAACTGATGATGCATGGCCTACTTGGAAAGCAGCAGGGGTTTAGTGTACTGAAGACTTCGGAGATACTTGCGTCCGTCCAGCAATGAAACGAGACGTGTCATACACAAGGTCGTGGATGAATCGGGATGCTCAGGGGCCAGACTCTGAGTCGATGCCACATAGCGAACGGGCCACACTGGCAAGGGTTCCCAGGCTCGCCGAAGAACCGTTTAAATTCAAGCCAGCCTTACCGACCTGGATGGAGACTTTATTCGAGGGTGCGCCATCAATCTGATACGAGCAAATCACCCCATTCACGGAAGGAACTCGCCAAGGTCCTTCCGGCGCCGCCTTCTGTCCTCCACCGTCGAAGAAAAATGTATTCTCCATGCCAGATCTCACCTCTTTCAGTGCAGCTTTTTACAGAAAGCTCCCAATGACCACGACAAGGACTTTTCTCCCGATCCGACTCTGGCAGTCAAGATGCACATCGCCCTGCTCCATTTCCTGCTGGTCCCCACACTCGCGATCGCAGCCCTAAACGCCACGCCGATCCCCCGCGTCTTCCTCTTCGCCCTGGTAGCCCACCAGGCATGGCTCACGACGCAGACCATCGAGGCCGCCAGGCTCGGCACGGCCGCCGGCTTCCCATCGCTGGACACGCACGTCGCCGACATTGCCATCAAGGTTGCCATCCTCGTCACTCTTCACATGGGCGTCGTCCTCTTCCTCGAGCGCATTGTCCTGCCTAAGCGCGACACGTGGGCCGGTCAGGTCAAGGAGGGCTACAAGATGGTCTTCAACGGCAGGCGCATCGGCACCACCCGCCTAGCGCCCCAGGTTCCCATCCTTGAAAGCGAAGCCATGACCCTCGTGACGCGAAAAGATGACGAGGTCTTGCTCCAGCGCCAGCAGCGGCCGCAGGGAGGCAGCTTTCACGACCGCGTGGGGCACCGTCCGCCGCGAACCCCGGCTCCGCTTCGTCCTTCGTCGCCTTTCCCTCGCGCTCCTCCTCGCGCTCCTCGAGTTCGGCATCAAGCCGCCGCTGCTGCGCCTCTATCTTCCCACGACATACGATGACTTTGCCCCCGCGAAGGAAGTCTTCTTCCGCCGTCTTCTCCTTCCCGGCCGTGGTCCGATGCCTGACGCCCACGAGGTAGCTGTGAGACTGTGGATGACGTTCGAGACGACGTGGGCGGCCTACTCCTTTTACACAACGTGGCACTCCCTTGCTTCGGCAGCAGCGGTCGCCGCGGGCCTCGACCGCCCGCACGAGTGGCCGCCGCTGTTCGGGGACATCAGGCAGGCGTACTCGCTGCGGCGCTACTGGGTCAAATTCTTCGATCGCCTGATCTACCGAACCATGTCGGGGTACGCAAAGTTCGCGGGCCGCTGGGTCGGGCTTTGCGACGCCGCGGGGAAGGCCAAGACGACCTGGAGCCGGTGGGCGTTGAACGGGATGGTGTTCATGCTGAGCGGCGTATTTCACGCCTGGGCGGCCAAGTGGCAGGGCTACAGATGCGGGTTCTGGGAGGAGATATGGTGGTGGTCTGCGAATTTTGTGGTCGTCTTGGGGGAGACGGTTGTTTTGGACGGTCTGCGGAGAATCGTCCCGCGATGGTACCATCAGATGGCCGAGGGGAGGACAGCCAGGATTGCCGGAGGGTTCTGGGTGTGTCTTTTCATCTTTTGGGCGTCGCCGAAATATCTTTACCCTGTCATGATATGCGACGCGTAGTCAACAAGTGGAATAATCCAGGATGCACTCAGTCAATTGCTCCTCAACAGTCTCAGTGATGTTGATGTAAGTTTACAAGTACGCTTGACGTTCCGATATGCTTGCACGCAATTAGCTCCGGAAAAATCGGCTCAAGATCGCAACGGGGTAGCAGCGGCCAGAGCGGAGACGAGGCTCGAGTCAGGCACTAGCGGGGCCGGCATTCGTGCCGCTCGCTATTGGAGATGCTGAAGCTGGCGGTGATGCCGAACGATAAGCGCGAAGGGTTCTGGGGCATGGGTGGATTTTCGTTAACAAAGGTGGCTAAGATGAGCGGCTGCTGGGTGTGTCGCGGAGGGGATCCTCGCCGCCTTGAGTCCGAGAGAAAGCTCACGAAGAGGAAGGGGTTCCTCCGTTGCTTGCCCTCCTGAAATCGGACATTCTTGGCCACGGCGTACCTTCCTTGACATACGCCAAGACGAGCCTTGAGTTCTTGGGTTCTTGGGATCGTGGAGAGATTTCTGGGCATCCTTGACCTACCATAGGCACCAGGTAGGGAAGGGTGGGAGGGTCAAGATGCGGGGATGATGGTCACGCTTTGTTCTGTCGAGCTCATGAGGACCATTTTGTTATCTCATGAGTATGTAATAAGATCTCGAGGAGGAGCCTCGCGTAGATGGACTGACTCTTTGTAAGACATCTCTGTCGATATAATGCCGATGCCACGAGAACAGAGCCCTCCAAGTAAGGTTGCGGGAGGCTTTTGCTCAACAGGGGAGTTACAGCGACGTTAGTGGACCCCATTTGCTGATACGGTGATGCCACGCCTAAAACAGCAGGTGGCAGCCCCCCCGCATACGCTAACGACTTGGACCAACAGGGGCCGATCTGCTAATAAGCGGCAAACCGCCAATGCCACTGACGTAACTCCAGCCTGTCGTCCCCCGCACCTTAGCAAAACACCAATGGAAACCCAAGCGAGCCCAAGACTGCTCCTCCAAGGCTGCAACGTCACTTTTCACCACCATCAAACCCTGCCTCCCTGAATGCGGTCTTAGGGCCTCCAGCTCGCAGAGTCCACGCGAATGACTCGATATCACCGCTATCGGCGTGGTCAATTGGCCCTTGACCCAGCAGCCTGGCAGGTCTAGACACGCGTGTAGACAAGATCCTACAATGCAACCTGGTCATCACGCGATAGGAGCTTCTTCGCATCTCCGACCACTCCCCCAAGCTCCTCCCGCAAATGCCCCTCATCGAGAAGCGATCGGCCGCTTCTGAGTGAACTATTGTCCTGTTTCCGCTTAGTACGACACCCCGTTGTCTGGCACCGTCCAAGATGATGGGCCAATTGCTTGAAAGGGCGCGACGCGGGCGTGCATCAAGCAACCGGGTCAACGACCCTCTTGGAGGGTCTTGGAAGAGGCGACCAATGCAGATGGCCGGGTCATTGGCACCGGCCGGCCATGTGGTAAGACAAGGGCGTCCTCAAAATAAAAGCGATCCCCGAACCATGCTTGAGGAACGAAGTTCGTTCGTCCCACGGTTTTCTCCTCTATCTCTTGCTGCCGATCAGCTTCTTCTTCGATAGCTGAGAGTGTTTTGTCTCTCTTCTGGTTCGTCATGGCTCCTGTCTGGTCGACTGTCCTTGGACCGCTGCTGTTTGCGGCGGTCCAGCCCGCCTTGTCGTCGCCGACATGCAAAGGCGAGCCTCGTCGCGGCGCCGTCGCGTCGGAACTCGACATTTGCAGCAAGATTGGGACCGACTTGCTAAAGGCTGGAGGTAACGCTGTCGATGCTGCTGTCGGCACCACATTCTGTGTCGGCACTGCGGGCATGTACCACAGTGGTATCGGAGGAGGTGGTTTCCTCGTCGTTCGGTCTGAGGAAGGCGAGTACGAGTTTATCGACTTCCGAGAGACCGCCCCGGCTGCTGCGTACGAGGACATGTACGTCGACGATCCGGACCAGAGCATCTACGGAGGTCTTGCCAGGTATGTGCAACTTTGAACTATGATCAGCGCTTGGGAGCTCTCGAGGTGCTAACCATGGTCTCAGTGGTGTTCCAGGTGAACCCAGGGGCCTCGAGTACGTCCACAAGAAGTACGGCGCGCTTGCGTGGAAGGACGTTCTTGCGCCCTCCATCAAGCTGGCCCGCTTCGGCTGGAAAGTCAACGAGGACCTCATCTATTATATGAACGCTGTTGGCGGGACCTTCTTGACCGACGACCCTACCTGGGCCATTGACTTTGCTCCCCACGGCAGGCGCCTCGAGCTTGGCGAAACCATTACTCGCAAGCGGTACGCCAACACTCTCGAGACTCTCGCCGAGGAGGGCGCGGATGCTCTTTACACTGGTGCCATTGCCAATGCCACCATCGCTCATCTCCAGAAGCTCAACGGCACCATGACGTTGGAGGATCTCCAGAACTACACCATTGCCCACCGCCCCACCGCCGAGATCAACTACCGCGGCTTCAAGCTGACCAGCGCCACGGCTCCTTCGGGCGGTATCGTGGTCCTCAGCGCCCTCAATGGTGCCGCGGGCTACGAGGGCTTTGACGATCCTGAGCAGGTCAACCTGACCACCCATCGTCTCGACCAGACAACTCGCTTCGCCTATGGCCAACGCTCGTCCCTTGGTGACCCCGTCTTCGTCGACGGTCTCGCCGAGTTCCAGGAACGCATGATCTCCGCCGAAGTCGGCGCCGAAGTGCGCTCCAAAATCTCCGACACGCAGGCTTTCAACATTTCGTACTACGACCCCTCCGGTCTTGAGTCCCTCGAGACCCCTGGAACCTCTCACATCGTGTCAGCCGACAGTTCCGGCCTCGCCGTCTCCATGACGACGACCATCAACCTTCTCTTCGGCTCGCAGGTCATGATTCCCGAGACGGGCGTCATCATGAACAACGAGATGAACGACTTCTCCATCCCAGGCGTGACGAATGCATTCGGGTACATCCCCAGCCCCGCCAACTTTATCCGCCCCGGCAAGAGACCCCTGAGCTCTATGTCGCCCACCATCATCGAGACGGCCGACGGCAAGCTGTACATGAGCATCGGTGCGGCGGGTGGCAGCCGCATCATCACCTCGACGATCCAGAACATCCACAACGTGCTCGACAAGGGGCTCAACATTCACGACGCCCTGGCGTTCCCGCGCTGGCACGACCAGCTGTCGCCGGAGAGGATCACGTTTGAGTGGGCGTACGACAACAGCACCGTTGCGTTCCTCAAGGGACTGGGTCACAATGTGACGTATGTCCGGCCGGGACAGAGCTCGGCACAGGGACTGCGGTTGTTGACGAACGGGACGTTCGAGGCTTCGGGCGAGCCCAGACAGACCAACTCGGGGGGCTACGCCGTGTAGATGTGTTGGGATGTAAATAGGTTGAAGAGACAATGGTATCTATTTGATCTACTTCGTTTCACTTTGTTCGTGCTTGCTTTTGTGTTCGGCTCTGTGACAAGGTGGAATGTTATGCGCGAGTGGTCTCCTCACATCAGGGGGGAGACAGGTTCATGGCCTCTGACAAGTAGTCATGGACCCCATGAACAGAATTCACCGTGATGAAGTCTTAACCTTTGTGGCGGTCAACATTCCAGCAATGCGATCAAGGTCGCGGTTCCGAGCATGTCAAATGAATTCAGCCAAACGAAGACTCGTAGCTCGTTTGAGCTGTTCCGCTGTCGGGACTCAATCCCATCTACCGTCAACGGCCACCATCGCCCATTGAGGCTACTCCACGGGTAACAAACAATAAACAAAGGTGCTACCATGAAGAGGTCTCGCCATATTTACCTGCATTGTGCTCGCCCGAATCGCATGGCCGTCATGCATGGAGTGGTTAAACATGCGGATCAGCAAAGTACGTCACGATCAGGTTGATGCCGGATATTCACCCCCAAGCAAGCGTCTTCTGGGGAACAGGGTAGCTTGATGACAGGCCTACATTTTGGGGGCCATTGGTACGTCTCAATATCCATTGCAAGGTCTCCTCCGTCCTACCGCCGAGGTATCTGGTTACAGTATTTCGAAATACAAAGGCCCTGTTCCTGTGAAATGAGCCATGTCCCAAACAACCACGTCCTAGTGAAGGCTCCATGGGATGACGGCGTAACGGGCCACCACCAACTCATCGAAACAGCGCAGACAAACCCCGCCTCCCGTAATCGCCGAAAACAGTCTGCTCTACAGAAGCCGCGTTCCCGAGGCATACATTACCAACTTGACCCAGGCGGCGCTGCGACTCCTGACCCTGTCGCTGGTTAAGTCGTTCGCAAAGACGGGAGTCCAGTCGCAGTTATAAACGAAAAGTTGAATCCTGCGTACAGTGCGGGCGAAGGTTTAGAAGTCTCTTCAAACTTTGGGAAGCCGATTCACTCGGGACGCGCGAGGCCACAAACATCTCAAGCCGTCTGCAGCAGCGGGACAAAGTTTATTCATAATCTCGTGTACTTCATTGGCTTGCGCTCTATAACCAGATGTAGTAGATAGGAACAGCATCGCCAAACTCCGCCAGCCAGGAAACGGCTGATGAGACCGGCTAATAATCGTCAACACATCTAGGCCGCCACCGGCTGCACAATATCTCTCTTATCAAAGGTAACCCAGAAGTTGTTTTGCTTGACAAACCAAGCATTGACAATCTCCCAGTCCCGCGACGGATCTTGAAAGTTGATCTGATACAATGGTTAGCTTAGAAACCAATAAGCTCGTCACCGGAGTACTCACCTCGAAGCGTCTCAGCAGACTCGGCACCACCTTGTAAATCTCAAGCAGACTGATGTTCTTGCCGATGCACGTGCGGCTTCTCCATGCCGAACTGGAGCATTGTTGCCTTTCATCTTCCTTGGACCCTCCTGTCCT